AGGTATCTCCCACCATACCCAGCTGAATGGGCTTTTCTATATTTTTTGATAGAATATGATTATATTCTGAGTGTTTTATCTTTTTTAAAAAATTTTGATTTATTTATATTTTATGTGTATGAATGTTTTGCCTGCATATATGTAAGTGCACTCATGTCATACAATGCCCACGGAGGCCAGAAAAGGGGTGTTGGATCTCCTGGAATTAGGAATGGTTGTTAGCCATCATGTGGGTGGGTGCTGGGAACTGAACCCAGGTTCCCTGGAAGAGCAGCTAGTGCTCTTAACCATTGAACCATCTCTCCAGCCCTGGTGTCCTTTTTTTTCTTTTATTATTTTAGTTTTTTTTTTTTTTTTTTTTTTTAAAGAGTATTTTTATTATTTTATGTGTATGAGTGTGTTGCCTGCATGTCTGTAAGTGCACCTGTGTCCTTCAGTGCCCTCAGAGGTCAGAAGAGGGAGGTGATTCCCTGGAACTGGAGTTATGGATGCTTGTTAGTGGACACCATGTGGGCAGTTTGTTTTGTTTTTTAAAAATATTCATTATTTTAATTTGATATGTATGAGTGTATTGCCTACATGTATGTGAGTGCACCCGTGTTGTGCAATGCCCGCGGAAGACAGAAGAGGCTGTCGGATCCCCTGGAACTGGAGTTACGGACAGTTAGCTGCCATGTGGGTGCTGGGAATCAAACCCTTGTCCTCTGCAAGAGGAGCCAGTGCTCTTAACCACTGAGCTATCTCCCCAGCCTTTTTCTTTTCTTTTTTTTTTTTTTCTTTTTTTAGTCTTTGAAATAGAGTCTTCCTATATGGTTCAGAGTGGCTTGGAATTTGTGATTCTCCTTCCTCAGCTTCTTCCTGAGTACTGAGATTGTAGTTATGTGCCATCATGGCCAGCACTAATGGTATTTTAAGCAGAAATGCCTGACAGATAATGTTAAGTGAAAAAAGTCAAGCACAGGAAGACAAGTGGCTATGTGTGGTCACTCTAGAAGTTGATCTTCCAGGTATGAGAATAGAATATTGGTTATCAGAGGCTGTGCATGTGCATGCGTGTGTGCGTGCGTGCGTGTGTGTGTGTGTGTGTGTGTAGTTAAAAGTTTCAGTTGAGGGGCTGGAGAGATAGCCCAGCAGTTATGAACACTTACTGTTCTTCCAGAAGGCCTGGATTCAGTTTCCAAACTCAGATGGTGGCTAACACCTATCCCTAGTTCCAGTTCCAGGGAATCTGATGCCCTCTTCTGCCCTCTTGAGTACACAAGGCAAGTATTTGGTATACTTTCCTACATGCAGATAAAAACACTCACACACATAAAATAAAATTGAACAAAAACTTAAAAAATTGTTAAAAAGGCCAGGTGTGGTGGGTGGCGCATGCCTTTAATCCCAGCACTCAGGAGGTAGAGACAGATCTTTGTGAGTTCAAGGCCAGCCTGGCCTACATAGTGAGTTCCAGGACAGTTGGGGCTACAAGGAGACCCTGTCTCAAAAAGACCAAAAAAAAAAAAAAAAAAAAAAATTGTTAAAAAACAAAAAAAAAAGTTCCAGGGACTGGAGAGATGACTTAGCAATTAAGATGACTGCTCTGGGTTTGGTTCCCAACAGCTGACTCTTGACTAACAACTGTCTCTAACTCCTGTTCCAGGGAATCCAGCACCCTCTTCTCACCTCCAGAGGCATTGCATATACGGGTGCACTTACATACATACAGATAAAGCACAGATAAAATAAAAATAAATAAAAACAATTTTTTTAGTTAAATAGGAAGAGTAACTTTTAATGCACTTTAACCTAGTAGGGTAGCAATGGTGGACAGCCATTTACTGTATACTTCAAAATAGCTGCCAGAGACGATTTTGGATGTTTCTAGCACACAAAAAAAAATTATAAATGCTTAGGGGGTGGATATGCCAGTTACTCAGAGCTCATCATTACACACTGTATGCATACATATGTTGAAATATCACTCCTATTTTATCAATATATAAAGTTACTATGTGTCAATCAAAGTTGTTTGTTTTAGAGACAAGGTCTCACTGTAGACTAAACTTGGCCTTGACCTTACAGAGATCCACCTGCCTCTGCCTCCTGAGTGCTGAGATTAAAGGCCTGCCCCACCTTGCCCAGTTTTTTTTAATTTTTAAAATTTTATGTATATGAGTATATTGCCTGCATGTATGTACGTGAACCCATGTCATGCAGTGCCTGTGGAGGTCCAAAGAGGGCATTGGATTCCCTTGGAACTGAAATTACGGACAGTTGTTAGCTGCCATGTGGGTGCTGGGAACCAAATCTGGGTCCTCTGCAAGAGCAGCCAGTGTTCTTAACTGCTGAGCCATCTTTCCAGCCCTGCTTTATTTATTTATTTAATTTATCTATAAATTTTTTATTTTATTTTATGTCTATGTGTATATTACCTGCATGTATGTAAGTGCACCTGTGTTGTGCAGTGCCACAGAGGTCAGAAGATGGTATCGGATCTTCTGAACTGTGAGTTACAGTTGTTAACTGCCATGTGGGTGCTAGGATTTGAACCTGGGTCTTCTGTAAGAAGAGCCAGTGTTCCTGACCACTGAGCCATTTCTCCAGCCCCTTATTTATTTTTAAGCCATCTGACATAGCTTAGGCTGACCTGCAACTCAAGTACATAGGTGAAGATGACTTTGAACTCTTGATCCTTCTACTTTTACCTCTCAAGAATTGGAATTATAGCCATATGCCACTATTCTTGGCTTAAAGGATTTTTTTTTAAACCTCAGAAATAGGTATGATTATGTTCTAGAAATTATGACACAGATTCAAATGGAGGATCTGGACATTGTGTTCTAGACCCTTAGATTCCTGCCAGTGCAAGAGATAATGTAAAGACGATGCAGTGGTTGTTTGCCTAACTGAGTTAAAGGTTAGAACAGATGAAAAGCTAGTTCTTTACCTCTGACTCTGTACCTGGAGGCACCAAACTGGCCTCCTAGAGTCTCAGACTTAGAGTCTCTCTGATTCTCGTCTTTCTGTTGGTTTAACAGTAGTTAGACATTTTTTGTGAATGCTAATTGTAGCTAGTAGTTTATAGACTGCAGAGTGAGATGAGTCATCCTGGAGACCTGATGCAGTTTAGTTTTCTTCTTCTTTTTAAAAAAAAATTATTTCTTATTTTTATTTTATGTGTATGCGTGTATTGCCTGCATGTGTAAGTGCATCCGTGAAGGTCAAAGGAAGACGTTAGATTCCTCTGGAACTGGAGTTATGGACAGTAGTTAGGTGCCTTGTGGGTGCTGGGAATCAAACCTGGGTCTTCTATAAGAACAACAAGTGGTCCATCTTTTCAGCCCCCTACTTTTCTTTTTGATTTGAGTGTTTGTGTGTGTTTATTTTGAGACAGAGTCTTGCTATTGTAGCCCAGGCTAGCCTCAAACTCCTCTTGCTTCCACTGCCTGAGGGTTGGTGTGTACTACCGTGCCCAGCTCTCTTGTCTTCTCTGTTCTGATTGCCTTGCTGGGAATGTAGTCTGGTAGTTCCTGCTAAATAGCGCCTACTTCTCTGCAGACTATCTGCAGCCTGTGCTTCCTCTTGCAGTTCTCTAACCTGTACCCTGCTGGGAATCTAGAGCCCATTTGTGTGTTGTGCCTCATTGCTTTGGTTTTATTCTTGTTTATCTCTTCACTATTTTTCTTTTATGTCCAATGTAAGTTATGTATTGTCTCCTTTTATAGGTAGTGTGTGGCTATGAGAAATTTCTTGCTTCTGCTGCTTTTGGGGTGTGTGTATGTGTGTGTGTGTACCTTTACACATGTATGCATATGCATGTAGAAGCCCAGTGCTGGGATTACAGGTGAGCACCATCTTACCCAGCTTGTTTATATGGGTGCTGGGGATAAAACTCAGGTTTGGCAAGCACTTACCAATTAAGCCATCTCCCCTATCCCCCAGTCCCAGCCTTTCTTTTTATTTGTTTGTTTATTTGTGTATTTTTTTATCATTTAAAAAATTATTTAATAACCACATAATTAGAAGAAGCATTTCATGACAACAACATTGACATATTCAATAACAGTTTCCAGAACTAAGATGCATCTGTTTCAAGATTAGCTGTAAAGTTTTAGGTTTACAGTTGAATTAATACAGTTATACAATATTG